ACTGACAAAAAAGTTTATATTACAGTACTTTCAACTAGCAAAGAAGTTAATGTTACAGGACTTTCAAAAATTGATTTGAAGTCAGTATTTCGCAAATTCCATGATCGTTATAATGCTCTTGTTTTCAACTTGTCAGAGGATCGTATTTTGAGTAACATTTTTTACCAAAAATTGTTGATATTTTTTTATAGTAAATTTGACAGCGGATTATTCCGCTTTCCTGGTCAATGAAGATGGCCCTAGGCTCTTGTGACCAATCGCCAGGGGATGCTTACTTCACATGAGCACCTGATCCCATCTGGTGTGTCCATGGGTCGGTGTTTTGTCCTTTCACGATTGTGTTTTTGTGTTATTGTTTACAGGATTTCTGATCCTTTTTGTGGAAAATATACAAAGTTCATACAATACAATAGAAAATATACAAAGTTTATACAATAGAAATGGTGTAAATACACAATAAAAGGGGCAATTATAAATCACAAATGGAAAAGATCGAGCATTCCAACATTTGGCATGCACAGTTACCTGCTGAGAGAAAATTAATTTGGTTTATTCACTGAATCGGAATATTTTATTGCTTCACGATGTTTAAAAAAAAAAAATTTTCAAGCGTCAAAATGATGGCCAGGAAGAGAAATAGGAAAGGGGATATCTTTTTCTCAGTACCCCCCCCCCTTCCAATGAAATTTAAATTGGTTAATTATCAAAATGATCGTCAATAAAGAAGACATAATATCTTTGTGGAAAAGCAACACGATTCACTGATATACAATGCAGTAGAAATAAATTAATTACAATTTAAAAAATTCTTACCCTTTTTGGGAACAGTACAGTGCTGTAGACCGTTCTGAGTGCTTTGATTGTCCTAGAATTCTATTCTGAAGCTTTTGATAATGTTTACAGCTTTTTGAATGAAAATTGATAAAGTGTTTTTTCAGATTTTTTTTGTTTAAATTTTCCCTAGAAAATTTAATACTTTGTTTCTTACCTAGTAGGGATATCAATACATAATTTTATCTGACATGAAAAACTCTAACAACAAGTAATAATGTACCTACTCTAATAACTAATGCTTGTCTTATTTAGATAAGAAATTTAAGTAATCCCTATTGATGTTGTTGCTCCCAATGTTAATTTTCGGTAAGCGGTTTCATGAAAGTTCTTGATTACCGTTTCTTAATGGCACACTTTCATTCTAACTGCCATATTCCCGTCTTTCTTATTCTATTGCTACATGTAGGCATACAGCAATAACTTTTATAATAGACTCCGAATAAAATGTACATCCTGCTTTTTGAGTTTTTATATGCTTTTTATGAATGAAAATAATTCCCTCCTTTTAAATTCATTTCTTAAAATCTACTATTTTGTAAAGACGTTGGATTTAACATCATGCAAATTAATGCTTCTCTGATATTAAAAGAATTTAACACAGTACTTTGAAGATACAGATGTTTTTAGCTTTCATTTTTTCCTTGAGAATCTGTTATTCTGGGAAGAAAATCAATAGATAAAGGTATAACGTTAACACTCGTCAGCTTTTCAAAAAAAGTTCGGCCAAAGCCTTTAACCTCAAAACTATTCATAACAATTCCAATTTTTAGCATATTTGAATAAAACAATACAGATTATGTAATATTCAATTTAAAAACTGCGCACAAAATAAAAAAAAAAGAAAAGAAAAGATTCATGGGGGACTATTTCTTGTGGTGAAAGAAAATCCTTCAAATCTACACATACGTTAGATTTATTTTCTTGGAAATTTATCCATAAATATTTTTACTCAGAGAATATTTCCCGTTATTATGTGCTAAGAATATTAAATATAGGTTTCGATTAATATTTTTAGGACTACACATTCATCGAACAGATTTTGCCAAGACATGAAGTTCTATTGAAGAAGTCAAGATAAAATTCACATTGCTTTTTCCCTGAAAATCACATATTTTGAGTAATATCTCAAAATTTACATCACTGGCCCTAACTTTTTCTTTCATTATTTTAAACTACACGATACTTCCAACCGATCAGCACTAAGGTAATAAAAAGTGTGATATGAAAAATATTTTATTGTCCATTTAAATTTTAAATACTCCAAATATGATACTTCTAAGTGCAAAAAAGTCACACAATAATTTATGCGCATTAATTTGCAGGATTTGTTCAATAATAAATATTATTCAAACTATTTTTCTGAAAAAAAAAACCGATTAAATTTATTGCCATGATTACATTTGGGGGGGGGGGGGGGGAGACTAAGGGTAAAGTGATTAACCTAAGAGTTACAATTCAAGTGCAAAAAGGTCACGTTAATGGTACCATTTCTCAGTAAGATGCATACTGACCCCCAATTTTCTTTGCGATTTTGAGTCATGTTATATGTATATGAGTACTTACCTAAAATATACTTGATATAACTCATGTCACGAGTGACATATCTTAAAATACATAGGAATGATTATTTCTGTTAATTCTATGATATGCAAAGTTACTAGTTTTATTTGATTTCAATTTTCTTTGTGTTGTTATCAAGACAAAATATTAGGGTTGTCTGATGTTTATTAGTCCCCACCGGGTTTTTTTTGGTTTTGTTTTGTTTGTTTTTTTACTTAAAAAAAAAATCTTGTATGTAGCATGATATACATTTCTCAATAGCTTACTCTAGTGTGAAATCAAATGATAGTGTTATGTATTAAATCATTTCAATAATTTTCTTACCAGTGGAAATCCCCCCTCCTACAAATTTTCAAAAAGTATGTAAAACAGAACAAAAATGCTTTTGGAAAATATGAATTCCTGATTGAAGAGGAAATTATTGAAAGTTTGGGTTGAAACTGTCACTGAAATATTTTCATATTTCCAATCAAAGTCTTCGACTAAAAGTCTTTAATTTTTCTTTGTGTCCATACTACCTGGCTTTAACCGCACCTTGACCCTTAAGAAAGGTAATTATTTATATTTATATGTAACAAAATCCAGTGCTGTCATCTTGTCATGGGGAGAGACAAAAGAGGTGTACAGTTGCACTCTGAAACATTACAGGCTACTGAATATATAGGTAAGAGTGGCCACATGACCATGCATGAAATGGGGACAAAGTAGATACTTAGTATAATTGTATTTATAATTGAGACGCTGGTCAAGTATAAGAGGTAGGTGAAATGTCTACGTCATCTTTGAGTGTTTTTTTCTTACATTTCGAATTTCATTCAATTAATTTAAATTTCATCAACTTTTTCTATCAGTTAAATTTATTTGTCATTATTATGACGTGCTTGAAATATCAAGCAATCAAATGATTGTTACTATAGTATTGTTATAAATTTCATATAAAGGTGTAACCATAGGATAGCATATTTGTTAATATTTTATAAAAATAAAGATTCGTATGTTTTCCATAAAAACCCCACCTGTTTGTAGAACACAGGCTCATGGGTAAATAAGTTTTTACTCAAGTTTACTTCATAAAAAAAATGTTTTCTTTTTTTTTTTTATAAGGACTGGCAGATTAATAAATTATCAAATTCGTCTCTATTATTGTAACTTAAATTTTTAGAAAGTTTCATATGTTCTTGAAATAACTTTCTGTTCTGCCTCTTTGACACAAAAATTGCAGTTTTATTTAGTAAAAGTACAAGAGATTTATGTAAAACAAACTTACTTGTTCAGGAATTGGAATTTTTACATCCCCCAATCATGTATCTATGGTATTTGAAATATGTATCATTTTTAAATCTTGAATTCATATTTTGATATTATAAATATTGTACGTTTAAGAAAAGGAATGCCAATACTAGTTGAAAGTAAAATCTACTACGATTAGATGTTACTGCTAGCCTTTAACGTTCATGTTTTAGAATACAGATGAGACTGTAAAAGAGTGAATCAGCACGTGGACAAGATATAAGAGAGAAAATGTAGTTCACTATGTTGCATATTTTTCGAATATTTGACTGAGGCAACGATCTGTTTAATGTGCATTAAGAACAGATGACACAAACAAGCTTTCTTAAAAAAAATCTTAGAAATAACAACTTAAGCCATGTTTATATAAGTAAAATGAATGTTTTGCAGCATAAAATTTATTTTTTCATTCAATGTTTCGCAATAGTACTCAATAAAGTAATAAAAAGTATATACTCATAAGCGTAACAAGAATTTAATTTAAAACATTATAGAAAGTTTACAATGGCTTGATATTTTAAAGATTTAATGTTTGCATCATTTACAACCAAAATAAATTCCCGAATAGTTATCAATCCCGGCATCCATTTTTTCGTTTCTATCATTAAATATGGAGATAACGAAGAGTGTTCAAGCTCAAAGTCCATTAAAACAATACAAATCTGAAGCAGAGCAAACACTGACCTCCAAAAACATCAGAGGTGGATCAGGTGCCATGGAGGAATGAGCATCCCCTTACGACCGGTCACACCCGCCCTGTGCTCCTTGCCATGATCGGGAAATAACAAAAATCAATGTGTAAATAATGACCCAACAATTAGTATGAAAAACGTCAGTCAGCATATGACTTAACGATAGATTGTATTTGCTGACAAGGTCATTGTATCGACCATAGAACTTACGAAATGATGACTTTAAACGAGACTGTTGATATTCTTGTTTCATCAACTTGTTTGTCAATAACTTACTTCATTATAGAAAATTTTCATACGTAGGGCATTCTCTTGCGTATCGAATAAACTGAGAGATATACACCCATATGCAAGTGAAAATGGTATATTGCTGCATAAGTAAGGGAAATTGACGATTGAAATGTTAAAGTCATCACGTTTATCATAAAGCTTTGTTGATAGATTACCATTAACGTCTTTTTCTAGTAAAATATCCAAATATGAAACAGATGTGTCAGACTCTTTGGTATCTTTTATTTCAAGCTAACTGGGATATATCCCAGTATTTAAAGTAAAGATGAATGACTTCTTTTGTTTAGTTGTGTGCCTTTGCATAAATTCTATCAAAATACAACTTGCACTGTCATGGAACAAGGCGTGGATGTGGACGAGATCTGGCGAGCCTTGAGGCCCTGGGGTCGCTACCAGGTTAAACAGCTGTGTTTTATGTGGGCTGCTATGATTCCCTGCTCCTTCCATCTCTTGGCTATTGTTTTTATAGGTGAGCAATTGGAGAAAATATAAAAGATAATGAAAAATACATTTTTCCTTGCTTCTTTGATTTTGGAGCATGTTTCGGAAGAACATATTATATATAACATTCACTAAATATACAGGTAAAATTGTAAGATGTCTTCACCATATAAAATAAACAACGGTTGAGGCACAGACCCTGTACGGATTTTCGAAAAGCCATCCAGGTTCTACATACTATACTATAGGTATGCATACAGAATCTGAATCTCAATGTGAGGTATCCTTACACACAAAAGCCTTGTGCAGGAATGGAATCCTTGTCCTAATAACTGAAAATTGGACTTAAAAGCCCCACATCATTTGATATGTTATGGCTGTGATAAAGTTGCTCTAAATTCTATCTCAGATTGAGCAAACTTTGGTAAATTTACAAATGAATTGTGCTCAAACATTTGATACTCAAATACAACATGTAGAAAGTAATATGAATTGTAAATGATTTATATACTTTCCAAAATTATAAACTGGAAATTCTAGAATTAATCATATGTTAAGTATTAAATATTGGTCTTAGTCGGCAGTTACGTCGGGAAATACACTGATCCTATGACTCCATGTATGGTATTTTAGTACTCGACTTTTTTGACATGGGTTTTCAATAATCGGTGTCTCAATATATGGAAAAAGGATCGGATTTCTCGCATGGGTTTTCAGAATGCGTTAGAAAGGAAACTAACATGAATTTCTTGCACGGGATTTGTAAATAATTTGGCCAATATTTCAACATGATTGCTATAGTCACGTGTTACTGAAAGAGGATTTCATGCAATTACCATGTCTAAGCCAACCAGACTGTCAAAATTTATTATAGATCTAAATACACTGGCATTTCAAATGATTGAATCCAACAAAATGTTTTTTCCATACAATGTCATTTAACGTCTATAGAGTTTGCGAAGTGCTGACTGAAAACGAGACTACTGAACGCCTTGTGACATCAAATAGCCTTTGATTAAAAATTGATAGTATTCAGAACATCTCTTGCATTCCGAATCATTTGGGAGACATAAACATCAACATCTTCAATATGTACTAGTAAGTACGTATGAAGTTAGTCCTTCACAGCATTTAATATTTTGTGAGGAATACAAATAGCCCATTTACTGGAAGTCTGATATATGTATTTGTTCAAGGATTTATATGAAGTTTTGGAATTCAGTGGACATACGGTAACTCAAATTCACATCTGTTGATTGGGAAGTTCAACTTATTTGAAATGAAATATATGGAGATAACGAGCAGTATTCAAACTCAAAGGTCCATTAAACAATACAAAGAGCAAACACGGATCTCTAAAACATCAGAGGTGGGATGAGGTGCCATGATGGAGGAGTGAGCATCCCCTGCCGACCGGTCACAGCCGCCGTGTGCTCCTTGTCATGATCGGGAAATAACGGGAAAATCTGTCGTCCATTCAGTGAGTAAATAATGGCCTAACAATTAGAATGAAAAACGTCAGTCAGCATTTGACTTAATGATAAATTGAATTTGCTGACAATGTCATTGTATCGACCATAGAACTTACAAAATGATGACTTTAAACGAGACTGCTGATATTCTTGTTTCATCAACTTGTTTGTCAATAAATTGCCTCGTTTTAGAAATTCTTCGTACTTAGAGCATGCTCTTGCGTATCGAATCAACTGAGAGATATGAACCCCGTATGCAGGTGATGGAGGTATATTGCTGCATAAGTAAGGGAATTTGACAATTGAAAAGTTACAGTCATCACGATGTTAGATTACCATTAACGTCTTTTTCTAGTAAAATATCCAAATATGAAACAGATGACATGTGTAATATAAAACAGATGTGTCAAACTCTGTGGTATCATTATTTCAAGCTCACCGGGATATATCGTATCGACACAAGAATGGAAATAACCATTGTTAATTGAAAATACGACGCCGATATATCTGAATGTCAAGTTTAAGGCCACAGCAAGTGTTTTCTTATTTTCACGTATAAGATTTTGAACAAATTCTGCTTCATATGAATACAAAAATAGGTCTGCTAATAACTAAAGCGCGATTTTGAAGAATTTTATCTTTTGAAAGAAAACTGCGAGTATAAATTAGATTACCAGATGTGGAATTAAAGCCAAGTTCTAAAATGCAATCGTAATAATGAGCTTTACAAACAAAGACAATGGAGAAAACACATGTCAATTTTCAAATGTACCGGGAATGTTAATATTTGAAACATATTCATTTCCGTGGGGATTTACTAGTCAACATGGGATGCTTACTCTCCTTGGGCACCTGATCTCCACATGATCTTACCAAGAGTCTCTTTTTTTTTTTTACTCCGTCCATGTCTTGTATTGTTTTCATGATTATATGAATTATTCACATGAACAACTCATGTGTATGTTCAACACATGTTGTTCGATTTTTATGGTAAACATACCTTTTCAAATCACATAAAAAACATACGTTGCAATTGTACATAAATAAACCATTCATTTTCGATGTTTTTTCATGTTCAAAAGGATCAGGATAAGAAAAGATTGTCCGAGTTATACAAATTAAATTTAATTATTTAGATTTATATGAAGTTTAATCTTTGTGATATTTTTTATTCAGGATATCGACCCGACTTCCAATGTGCCACTATATCACCTCCCGATAATAAAACTTGGAATGCCTCAGCATTTTACGCAACATATGAAAAATGTTCAGTGACGATATCTTCTAACCGATCAAATTCTTCTAGCACAACTTCTTCATGTTCCAGTGGTTACAGCTATAATGAATACGATGACATATCTTTTGTAACTGAGGTAAACTTCCTAAATAGAAGTTCTCAGAAGCTTAAAATTATAATTGAAAGTATTTTATGAAAAAAAGTAGGACAAAATTTTAATTTTTTTTTTCATCCAAATGTTGAAAAATTACAATTTTCTTTTCAACCCTCTTATAAAATGACCATTTTATCACATTTTTTTCATACCTAGTGGAATCTCGTTTGCGATGAGTCCACAAAGCTGGATATCTCTCAGTCCCTTTTGCTCCTGGGACAAGGTTTTGGCGGGTTTCTGTGCACTGGCTTCTCTGATAAATTTGGTAGAAAACGAGTCCACATTGTGTCACACATCTCCATCCTCGTTCTATCCGTTGCTACAGCTGTTATTCCATCGTATGTAGGACTTGCCATCCTTAGATTCCTTACAGGGGTCGCCATTGAGGTATGTTAAACAAGAGTGGGATTTCTCACATGAGGATATTTAAAAGATGTCTATAAACGTTCCTTGATAAAATTTTGCTCCATATAAATTCCTTTAAGAGAAAATTGGTATTGTTTATTCCTTGAAATATTGTTTTTTCCTTAGAATATACTATTTGCTGTCCATTATTTTTACGTTTTACATTTAATAAAATAAATTCACATATTCGAAAAACAGTGTTTCAATCCTGATATAAGAAGGGATAATAATGCCAAATCCTAATATTTTGTTCTCCATGTCTTTCTTTTTCTTAATCAAAGTTTTTAGTTTTACATCTTGTTCCATATAAAAAAAATATATCCTATATATTTATAATTTCATCTTTGTATATTTAGGGATTGTTATTGTCAAGCGTGACGCAATACGTGGAGACACTTCCAGAGGAGTGGCGATTCTGCGCAGAAGTGATGGGTTTGGTCTGGTGGACCACAGGGATTGTTCTCTTAACGCCAATGGCCTATCTTTTGTATGGATTTTCCTGGAGATACCTACAACTTCTGTTGTCCTTACTATCTCTGTACAGCCTCGTAGAATACTGGTAAAAATTAATATGCATGTATTGTACAGTAGCTTAAATTGGCAAAAGTATGATTTCACTTATTTTTGCTTTGGAAAATAATTGAAGTGCAGAAATTCTCTTAGATTAAAAACAAAATATAAGTTTACAACTATACGAGAAATTGGACACTGAATTCGTGATTTCACTGAGAGTGCGAATAAATAGAATATTATACGGTAACACTGATCTATGGGATCAAAGCCTAGGGTCTAGTCTTCAGAGCCTCTACCTTCAAAAGCCTTTTCATTTAACAGCTGTCATCGAGTGATATTACTTAAAAAATTTGTGAAGCCAATTAAATGAATGTAAAGATTATTTTTACCTATCTTAACAACTTTATTGCAAAATTCACTTTAAAACTATATCATCAAAATAAGTGTATCTGTACATAGTGACTAAGGAAATGTTTTGCAGGCTTTTTGATGAGTCTCTAAGATGGCTAATGGCGAATGGTCATTTGGAAGAAGCAGAAAAAGTGGTACGAAAGGCTGCTAAAATGAACAAAAAAGATTTTGACAAAGTTATAAGTGAAGCCAAAGCAAAAACGATAGAATTAGAAAATCTGAATGGTGGCAAAAAGGAAATTGAAAAGGTATCAACGGACCCAGAAGTACTCATTGAAACCTACAATCCAAGGAATACGGAAGTGAAGAAATATGGCATGTTTGCTATTCTTAAGGACCGAGTGGTTCTCATCAACTCTGGCATTATTTGGCTTACTTGGTAATCTATAAGTTTTTGAAACATAAACATTAAAATAGAAACATGAATATTTACATCTAATACTATTCAGGCGAACATTGTGGCATATTTCATTGAATTAAAAGAATGACAAGGATTGCAAAAACTTTATTATAATGAATAGAACAGAAAAATGCACTGTGAAGTATTCAACTATTTGTACGTAATAATTTACAATAATACATTAAATTCGGTGCAAAACTTTTGTATGAAATGATTTTTAATTGTTGCCGAGGGTAAAATGAAGTTTTATTTTACCAGGCTGACGAATATCTTGACCTACTATGGGCTGAATCTTATATCCACTACTTTGTACGGAAACCGCTTCGTCAACTTCTTCTTTCTAGGGGCCATAGAATATTTGTCGGCTTTTGCTGAATTTATTCTGTTAAACAGGTAAGAACACGTTAGGTATGGACTGAATGATCAGTAAATGAATGATAATTATAATTAAAAAAAATGTTTGCTCACACCTTTGTAGCTCCGAGACTACATCTTTCAAAAAAAAAAAAAAAAAAAAATCAAAAAATTATTGTATTTCAGTCATTCTACAAAAACATGACCAATTAAGATTTTTTTTTGTCGCTTACATATTTACCGTTGTAATATCTTAACTATAAATTTAAAGGTCGATTTCAACTCTTAGACTTAATATACATACATGGTTTTGTAAATATTCACCGATATATATGCAGTTAAGGTTTTGATATGAACATAATGTAATGTTGAAAAACGTATTCTACTGCAAATCTTAATGTCGCTTCATTTATTTATAACTTTCAAGATGAAATTTTCAGCCGTAAAATCATTCCAAATAGATTGCAATGAATGTTAAAAAAAATGTCTTTTATCCTATATAAAAAGAAATCAAACCTTTTCTCGCAAAGAAATGCATACATCTCCTTTCATGCGAATTTATAAGCATGTCGCTAACTTCCGTAAGGATTTTATTTTAAATTTCACGCATAGAATGCAGATTTCAAAAAGAACTGAAACTTATCTGAAAGTGACCACTGAACCTTATATCATCGATTCTAGTTCCGAGTCAGCTATTTTAGACGACTACATTTTCAACATAACAAAATGAATTAGACAAAAACAGTTGTCTCTCTTAAAATTTTACTTCCGTAACGGTAATTCAGGAAAGTTTTTGCATTAAAGGTATAAAAACATTGCCATGTGTTGTAGAGTTGAATCTTCTCTGGTTGTAGATGTAAGAACAGTATAGGTAATCGTAACGTCTGAATCTATAAGAGTTCATGAGGATTTTTTTCTGTAAAATTAAACAGCAACTTTATCAAATTGATGACTTAGTATTCTTATAAAAATTCAAGTTGATACGAATACGGACTTACAACATTCATTTCTCAAAGGACAATTAGTTTGCATGATATAATTCTAATAATAATAATTATAAATTCAGAATAAACACGTGCGCTACGCATGCACTGCACATTTTTTCCCCCACTGATTTCATATATTTTTTCAACTACAGAATTGGTCGTAGAAGAACTCTCTTTCTTCTTCTAGCGACCTCAGGAGTTTCTCTATTGGTAGCCACTGTGTTGTCCATGTACAGAGGTAAGTATGAAGTCCACGTCATGTTGTGTATCTTTGGCATCACGTCTTACCATATTCTGTAAACGTACACTTTACATTAATCTATGCATTCAGTATGATTATTTAATCATAAATTAAATTAGCGCATTTGGAGCAAAGCACTTTGTTTTAATTCATATATATGGGTATACAAGACAAGACGTAGTGAAAACTGACTACCGCTAAATTGAGAACGTTTCTAGTTATTATTTTAAAAGTATTATTTTAATCTTGAAGACTCTGTACATTCTTGCATTGCTTCCTCGATGATACATGATGTACTTATTGATATGTCTTTGTTTTTATTTCTTGGTACATTTTTTCCTCAATCAAATCTTTAATATGGTAACCATTGTTTTTCTTTTTTTTTGATTGCTTTATTTCCAGGTGACAGTGAAGCATTGGGTCACCTGTCTACATTTTTGGTTTTGGTAGGAAAGTTTGGAATTACAGGCTCGTTCAGTTCAACTTTCTTGTACACATCGGAAATATACCCCACTAATCTAAGGTAGCTTGCATTTGAATTCATTGTCAAAAGTATCTAAATTTGAAAAAAAAAAATCTTAATCCGGATAATATATTTTGTTTTCGGTTCGTGAAACGGCGCGAAAAATGAAATGTAAATGGTTATACTGAACTGCATTAATTCATCTTTGCAGGAATGCTGGTTATGGCTACGCTTCTATTTTTGCAAGAATTGGTGGAATATTAGCGCCATTTTCTATGTCGTTGGTAAGTGTTAGCATTAAACACCACTTGAGTGTGACAGACAATGTATTATTCATACTGTAAAACCTATCTTTAAGAAACTTGAAGACTTCATGAGTGAAAATACAATATTGACAAAGATAGATAACTCTATTGTCTTTATTTAGAAAAGGGCAGGTAGACCTGTCATACAACCGACTGTGAACGATAATATGGATGAAATATATTCTGGGAGGTTATTGAAGGTCTGACTTTGGAATTATTTAGTATATTAAAAAAATAGTATGCTCATAATTCCCGAATTTCCTTTGTGTGAATTAGGAATAAGAATCGTATAAAGGTCACATGGCTAAATGTTATGTTCACAACATGTACATAACGGAGATCCTTTCCTACTGTAAAATTGCTTTTAATTTAAAGCAACCTGTAATTGTAGTTACTCTTTATATGATAAAATATGAATGCATTATCTAAAATATATACAAATGGTTATATGTCATTGGGTAGGATATGTGACATAATAATATTCAATACTTAATGTATATACTGATGGGCATTATCTAAAATATATACAAATGGTTATATGTCATTGGGTAGGATATGTGATATAATAATATTCAATACTTAATGTATATACTGATGGGCAATCGGAACTTTTTTCATAATCGATTATCGGATTCATTATCATAATCAAGTAACAGTCGATTGATTCCAAGTATTAATTTTTGAATGAAGATAAATTGGTAAAAAAAATCTGTAACGATTTCTAAAATGCACTTCTGAGGTATTTTGTATCATTGGACTCATTTATTAAATCATTACTTAGGATTTAGTCACATTCAAAGAAGAATGAAGAAAAAAAAAATCATAGGAATATTTACTTTTAACTAATATTCTGTATAATCGATTACCATTTCGATTAGATAATCGATTTAATAGATCAATCGGTACATTACTACTTATTTTGTATCGATATAATGAAAAAAGAAATCAAATATGATGGAAGCAATTTGCAGCTAATTATAGCATAATATCTTATAAACCCATGTAGGTAATACGGGGTATTCATACAATTCAAACTTTTATCTCCATTTAATTTAAGTAAACATTTGAATTTACTATTTTGTAGCACTCCTATGTTGCATGGGGTCCCGGTGTGGTGTTCAGTGTTATGTGCTTCCTTTCCGCCATTTTGATTCTCCTGCTACCGGAAACACGTGGACGAGAACTTCCCACGACAATAGAGGAACTAAAAACATGGTACAAAGCTAATAGCGGAATACGTAGATGTGGTACAACGTCCAACGAAAGCCTGTGAGAAATCGAATGGAAATCAGTAGTTTAATTTACACATTGAATAAAAGAAAGAAATTTCTTGGACTAGTAGGTTTTTGAGGATAGCAAATAAAAATTCTATGCTACGCGAAAACACACCAAGCACTCCCTTGTTGATTGTGTCTCAAGTCCGCTGTGACAAGCCATGATTCTATTTCAACAGTTCAACAATGGAGGATATGTATATCCCTGGGCATGAAATAAAATGTCTTTTACTGATATTAAGTCAATAAAAATAATATTAATAAAAATAACATGCAGGGGTTTTAATTCAATATTTTGATTTAAAATAGAAACGTCCACTTTTGTACTATTTTCCGTCCTTGATATTTCCAAGAAAAATGTTTCAGTTCAAAAGATAGTGAAAATTATTTATGACATGTTTGCTTTGTGAGTAAATTGGTATTAACGTTAGAGTAAGTAAGTAAATATTTTATTATAGTGACCTGTATATATATTCCAATACAACACTGTAGATTCCTTATTTTACTCTAGTACTTAATATCGCGATATGACTCTTAGACGTCAGATTGCGAGAATATATTAAATCGCGAGTGAGCAGTTGATCACTAGATTTTATATGGATTTCAGCACCATAAAAATAAAAGCGAGAAATTTTATTTCGCGAATGGAGCTTCTCGCGAATTTACGCGATAATTAGGTAGTACAAAACACCCATTAAATCTATTTTAACTCATTTCTTAAAATGTAAATGAGAAAAAAGAATAATATTACTATATTGCCAATAATCAATGATCTTTGTAAGAAAATTAATAAGCTGTGATATGTTTTCGCCGTATTTCGTTAAAAAATTAGAGACATCTTACATATTGGTCACTTGGGAGCCTACATTTAGAATGTGTTTATGCTGTCTAAATGTGATATAACAGTCTGTTATTAAATGCAAAGTAACTTAAAAATAGAGGGCTGATATTTAAAAATGTACATGAGGAGTCCCCATTCTTTACGTACAATAAAGGTCAAAGTCATATTAAGAGGTTAAAGGTCAAATATTGTATTGTCTCCAACTGAATCTTTCATTTTTTGCCATTGAATATTTTCTTTTAATTGCCCAAATATATGAAACCACTGGTTCAATTTTCCATAGTTTGATACATTTTATTTTGGGATCCATTTCAATCATTCTGGGGTTTTTTTTTTTTCGGAAAAATTGAATTATACATTAGGACTTGTGTAAAAGTGTAAATTTTCAATTCCGGGGTTATGTACGTTCTATTCTTACATCACATTTTACTCAAATTTACCGGTATCAACATATTTTACTGAATTGTGGTTTACAAAAAGGTTGCCTTTATAAACAGCATCACACACGTTTTCAATTGATCAATTGATAGTTTTTAAGTAAGGCACATTCTCAAGTCGAATGTCTCTATTCACAATCTTCTTACAGGGGTCTGATAGGCCATATTTCGAACAATGTGGGCAAAGAGTGTGCGGTTAGATTTCTTTCGTATTATATATAAAGAAAGATTTTGCATCCTAGAACAAAATATCAATGTTTCATAAAAAAAGAATTTGAGGAAAATTTTGGCTTATCTATTGTGTACTACCTTAAATACTCGCGTATATTAAGGAATCTACAGTAATAGATACAATAGAAATATATATACATTATACCCAGCCAATTGGACCTATATGTCACTTTAGTATATATACAATCTTTTCATTTTCAAAAGAAAGGGTGCATGACATTAATTTGATTTGTACAAATATTTTATCTTACTGAAAAGCATAAATTTAAAAATTTGATAGTTTGTCTTTGATACTTTTTCATTAAAGTGTTTAAATTATCAACTGGATCTACATTTCTACTTGAATTAACAATATGGAAAAAAAAAATCTCTTACTAGTATATTCTCAAAAACTTAACAATGAAATTAAAAGGTTTTCATCTTCTACCGATCCGCCTTTACATAAAACACAATAACGTTCTTGTGGCAGTTCATTTCTAAATCGGCCTGTTTCTATTCGAAGAAATATGAGTGAATAGTTCTTTTTAAACATGTATTTGATTCATTTGACTGATATCAAACCAGGACATAAGCTAATAACATTCCTGGATAATTCTATTCGCTACAGTTGGTGTTTGCGGATGGTTAAAATTCAATGCTACACGAAAACACACCAAGCACTCCATTGATTGATTGTATGTTGTTTTACGTCCCATTCGAGAATTTTTCACTCATATAGAGACGTCACCATATACCGGTGAAGGGCTTCAAATTTTGACCTTTACTCGGCACTCAGGGCCATTGAGCAGTGAGGGATCTTTATCGTGTCAACGCCTGCCGTGACACGGGGCCTCGGTTTTTAAGGTCTCATCCGAAGGAACCGCAACTTTCACTTCAAAGTGCCGAGCGCATGGCGAAGGAACAGTTGCTACCCATTTTATCGACTTAGGTCTGTCGCGGCCGAGATTCGAACTCAAGACCTCCCGATCACGGAGCGAGCGCTCTACCGACTGAGCTACCGTGAACGGTTAGCACGCCATTGAAGATGTCAGGTTGCATATTAAGTTTAACGTGTCTTAAGCCCACTGTGATAATCCATTCTATTAATTGAGTAAAAGTGGACAAATTATAATGTAACTAACTTATGTAAGGTCAAAAATAATAATGATAATAATAAAAACACACACACTTCACATGCAGGGGTTTTAATTCCATGTTTTGACGTCAAAAAGAATTCCACTGTCATCTTTTATATTATTTTTTTTTATCCTTGATATTTCCAGAAGAAATTTTTAAGTCAGTTCAAAAGATAGTGAAAATTGTTTATGACATGTCTGCCATTCAATGCAGCGTACGCTGTTCTTTAAATGATACACTTTCTAAACTTGTTACTATGATATGTAAATATTTTACTGACTGGGCTTATACAATAGAATGTATAGAGAAAAAAAATCCCTAAATTGAATACATTAGCCTTTACTTGATTTACAAAGGACAGACACAAAGCAAATTGTGTTTGAAGAAAATATATTTATATGTACAAAGATATAAATCAAAGTGAAAATATCTTGAAATGTACATAAAAATGACGAGAATAATAAAAAAAGTCTTTCAAAAGCAGAAGTAAATTGTTATTAACATTAGAAAAATGCTAGATTGCAATAGTCTCATTTACGTACAAAGATATAAATTTAAATGAAAATTGAAATGTTTTACTAGAAAAAGACATTAATGGTAATCTAACAACAAAGAAGCTTTATGATAAACGTGATGACTTTAACTTTTCAATCGTCAACTTCCCTTACTTATGCAGCAATATATCCTTATCACTTGCATATGGGGTGTGTATCTCTCAGTTGATTCGATACGCAAGAGCATGCTCTACGTAAGAAAATTTTTTAAAACGAGGTAAGTTATTAACAAACGGGTTGATGAAACAAGAATATCAACAGTCTCGTTTAAAGTCATCATTTCGTAAGTTCTTTGGTCGATACAATGACCTTGTAAGGAAATACAATCTATCATTAAGTTACATGCTGACTGACGTTTTTCATATTAATTGTTATGCCATTATTTACACAATGAATTGTCGACGGATTTTTCCGTTATTTCCCGATCATGACAAGGGGCACACGGCGGGTGTGACCGGTCGGCAGGGGATGCTCACTCCTCCATGGCACCTGATACCACCTCTAATTTTTTTGGAGGTCCGTGTTTGCTCTGCTCCCGATTTGTATTGTTTGAAAGGACTTTGAGCTTGAACACTGCACGTTATCTCCATATTTCATGTACATAAAAATCAAAATAGATTTAGTTTTCAGAATATGACAAGAATTAAAAAAATCTTTCAAAAGCATAAGTCAATTAATTAGTATTAACGTTAGAAATACGAGTATATTATGTTAGCAGTTAGGTGGGTTTAAAACCCTTATCATCTTTATATTTGGTTGTGGAGTGTGTCTCTGTTAACCACTCCACGGTTTGTCATTCCTTAATTCTCTACCTCTCCCTGAATACTTCACCTCTAGAGATGGTCTCTAAACCCCTAATCTTTTAAAATCAACATTTATCTAACACAGTCAATGTGTTTAATATTGCAAGTATACATTGTATTTCTCCACAAAAATGACATCGATGACTCAAAGCGAAAACACTGTACATTCATAATCATAGCACTGACTAAATTTACATTGAACATGTTCCATTATTATATCAATGATGTTTTTTATCATCTAAGTGAATTAGGGAACCTATAGGGCTCACGGTGGGTGTGACTGGTCGACAGAGGATGCAAACGGAGATACTGTAAACGTATTACATTTCCCGATTCTATTCTATTTAGCTCCTTTGGCGGAAAGCATCTTCCGCTAAATCAAGTACATTTAATTGTCTCGTTTCCAGTACATTCAGAAATGCGCTGAATGAAATCGAAAAAGCAATTTCAGCCAGATCCCTGCGTGGAGTAGTGATTAGAACGTTTTCTCTAGAGTTGCAGATTAAGGAGGTGATCCTTACGTCGCGGGTTCGAATCCAGTGTGTGACGTGGAGACCTGGAACCAAGATAGGGACACAAAAGTGTCCAAATATTTTAGAATACAAACAAACATGATTTTTTCCCATTTCTTTTTTCATCAACACAGACCTCAAAGCTTCACGACCGTTAAGACTACAAGTTTCAATCAAATATGCAAGCATCCTCAGACCTAGTAGGAAACAAAAAGCTGTCATGTGATTCGCATGTGATCGTGTAAAAGACTCGATCGCAGTCAAAATTAAAAAAAAGGAATTATAATTATATCAATATAATGTCTTTTTACACTTTATAGTATTGTGATTACCTAACAGTTATCTAGTAACTTATGCCACTCTTTTGCGGCGAAGTAGAGGATACTCTAAATCTCACGAGATTTCCGGGGCATATTAATAGATCTGATTATGCTTACGCTAGTGACAACTGAATGATTCGAACAATTAGTATACCGAAAGCACAATATATTGCAAAGGGTTGAACTTCAAATAGTATGTTTTGAGTTTTTTTTAATCAGCTTCCAAAAGTAACGATTATCAAAAAGAAATGGTTGAATTTAATTAGAAGAGTCGGCTTAGTCAAATGTAACACATTAGGACTAGCTTTTCTCAAGTTTTAATTCATGAAATATGGAGATAACGAAGAGTATTCAAGCTCAAAGTCCATTAAAACAATACAATTCGGGAGCAGAGCAAACACGGACCTCCAAAACATCAGAGGTGG